GCATCTTATGTATGCAATTTGGTGCATTTTGACAGTATCTGCTCATGTAACGAATACTTCAATTAGGAGTATTTTCATCCCCATCCTCATACCAATCTGTAGTTTGTTCCCATCAAAAATGATTTATTGCCCTCACTGGTTTGGCTTGGTGGATAGAGCGTCGGCCTGTGGACTGAAGGGTCCCAGGTTTGATTCCGGTCAAGGGAATGTGCCTTGATTGCGGGCACATCCCCAGTGGGGTGTGTGCAGGAGGCAGCTGATTGGTGTTTCTCTCTCGTTGATGTTTCTAACTCTCTATCTCTCTCCTTTCCTCTCTGTAAAAATCAATAAAATATATATATTTTTTTAAAAAGAAAAGAAAAAGAAAAAAAACTCTCGTCTGAGGAAGCCAGAGGTAATTTCACTGCTCCATGCTGCTTCTCCACAGTGAAATTGTGCCTCTCAACGCGCAGGAGTCGGTGGGGGCCCCAGGCTTTTTTAGTCCAAGGCAAAGAAGTACAGAAAATGGTTTCCATAATTTGTTCCTCGGTGAAATTATTAAACCTCCTTCTCTGCCTCGAGGTGGGAACAGAGAGTAGTTCCAGAAAGGCCCCTTCGCTGCCATCCTCATCCATTACTGCTCGCAGCCGACCATCCTGTGAGCCCTTCCACTCCCGTCTACGAGTTACTGAGCCTCTTGCCCAGCGGCAGGGTGCTGCTCTTGACCCCCAAGAAAGCTGTGGGTTACATGTTGTACCTGCCTATTTTAGCTGCAACTTATTTGGAGTCATTTTTCTGCTGATTTATTATACAGGTGACTTCTGTTTATGGGGGCCGGCAGCTTCTGGTCTATATTTTGCAGAAAACTTACTTTACGTAACATGAAAAGCCTCAGAGGTTGGTTTCTAGGCTGAATTATACTGAGGGACCCCTGAGAAAGCAGAGTGGCCAGTGATTCAGATTTTATGGGATGTCCATTATCTTATCAGAGGTAAATGTGCAACCATCACCCTTTTCCAGGACGGTATTAATTTTTCATCATTAGAGAATTCAGAAACTTACAAATGTGAATTACCGGTATTTATTTCTAAAATAATTCTGGAGAGAAAGATCATTGGTTTCTGAACTGAATTATGTCCCGACTTCTCTGTCACAGTAATCTTCAGTCCCCGCCTATGGGTTATGTCCTTCTGTGCCTCCGCCAGGCGGTCAGGGACAGCCTGGGAAGGGCAGAGCCGCCAGCTACGGGCTCGTATCTTCTTCCTCAAATAGCTTTGCCTTCACATTAATTTTTCGTGTTTTATGCGGCACCTCACACTGGAAGTCACGCATTTTCATAAACCATATTTATGCTGTACCACGGGAAACATGGATGTGAAGAAGGGGAAAGAACGAAGAAAACTTAAAAAGCTGACTTATCAACTCTTACATGGCTTCATTTTTTAATAAATCTTAGTCAATTCACAGGCATTGGAATTTAGAAGAGAGAGACCCCTATAACCCATTGCTGTCATCTGCTTCTTACATTCAGTCACAGTGTATTTCTGGAATGGTAAAAAATAAAAAATAAAAAAGATTTGTTTTGAAAGGAAAAGGGAAGAAACGTGATTATCAAGTAGCTGTTGAGTTTGCAAGAGAGCTTGTATTATTGTTTCTATGAAAAATTCATTGCTGTGGGGAATTAGGACTAATTACAGGGCCTTTTACCCTAGGAAAGGGAGATTGTGTTATGTGCAGAATTACAAAATACTGATCTTTCATAAACCATGCTCCATTAATTCTTCCTTAGTTTCTGCTTTTCATTGTGTTCCATGACCGTGTTTCTTAACTGGCTCATGTCAGAATTTTAATATTTACTTAGTATTCAAAATATGTTGATCCAAAACCGGTTTGGCTCAGTGGATAGAGCGTCAGCCTACGGACTGAAAGGTCCCAGGTTTGATTCCGGTCAAGGGCATGTACCTTGGTTGCGGGCAGATCCCCAGTAGGGGGGTGTGCAAGAGGCAGCTGATTGATGATTCTCTCTCATCGATGTTTCTAACTCTCTATCCCTCTCTCTTCCTCTCTGTAAAAAATCAATAAAATATGTATTTTTTAAAATATGTTGAAAGTGGAGAGAATCCAAGATGGCTGCTCGGGTAGGCAACTAGCCGCAGCCGCACACAACAATTTCAATAAAATACAACTAAAATATAAAATGGACATTACCCAGAACTACAGGAAAGTTGACTGACTGGAAATTCTACAACAAGAAGCAAGGAGAAAACCAGAAGGAAGCGCGGAGGAGCTGTAAAAGCCCAAGGTACGGAGACACGCAGCGCGCGTAGAGAACAGAGCCGGAGAGGAGGGAGGCCGAGTGCCTGGCTGGCGGTCCCTAGCGGGAAGGAGATAAAACTCCGACTGTGCTGGGCCCAGCACCAACTGCTCTGAACCCCAATTCTAGGCCAGACCCTGGGGACCCAGGCTCATCCATAGGGAGCCGGGCTGTAAGGCGGAACCCGGGGAAGAGGCGAAAGGGGGTCCCAGAGGCGCGCACAGTGCGCGCAGAGAAGGGCCGGCCGGCTGTGCCTCGGGATTGCCCTGACAGGAAGGAGACAGGGGCTCCAGACTGCTCTGAACGCCACCTCCAATCCCACTACCAACTGAACTGAACCCCAATACCGGACTCATTGGTGGAGAGCATAGACAGTTTGGCAGCAGGTGAAAATCGAGGGCACCTTTCTCTCAGAGGCACTTGCAACAAGTACTGAAGGACCCTGAGTCTCAGGAGTCACATAGGGCGGGGCTGACGGAAGCCAAGGCTGTAGGCTCCACCCTGAAACCCCGCCCCTTCAGGAAAGCTGCCTGCGAAAATGCCTAAACCAAATAGATCACAAACGAAAGAAATGAAGGACAAAAAGCGACTGGATATAGAGTTCAAAACCACACTTATAAGGTTTTTCAAGAGTTTCCTAGAAAAGGCCGATAAAATAAATGAGACCTGTGAGGATATGAAAAGGGATCAACAAGAAATAAAGAATACATTGTCTGAAATAAAAAATATTATACAGAGTCCTAAAAACAGAAGGGAAGATCGCAAGAATCAAGTCAAAGATTTGGAACATAAAGAGCCAGAAGACACTCCTCTGCAGAAGCTAGAAGGCAAGAGAATCCAGAAAATTGAAGATGATGTAAGAAACCTCTGGGACAACTTCAAACGATCCAACATCAGAATTATGGGGGTCCCAGAAGATGAGAGAGAGCAAGATATCGAAAATATACTGAAAGAAATAGTGACAGAAAACTTCCCCCACCTGGTGAAAGAATTGGACTTACAAGTCCAGGAAGCACACAGAACTCCAAATAAAAGGAATCCAAAGAGGACCACACCAAGACAAATCATAATTAAGATTCCAAGAGCAAAAGACAAAGAGAGAATATTAAAAGAAGCAAGAGCAAAGAAGGTAGTTACCTATAAAGGAGCACCTATACGATTGTCAGCTGATTTCTCAACAGAAACCATGCAGGCCAGACGGGAATGGCAAGAAATATTCAAGGTGATGAATAGCAAGAACCTACAGCCAAAGATAATCTACCCAGCAAAGCTATCACTCAGATTCGAAGGTCAGATAAAGAGCTTCACTAATAAAAAAAAGCTAAAGGAGTTCATCACCACCAAACCAGAATTATATGAATTGCTGAAGGGGGTTCTTTCAGAAGAGAAAGTAAATAAAGATAAAAATTATGAACAACAAATACGTAACTATCAACAAGTGAATCTAAAAACCAAGGAAACTAAAAAAAAAAAAAATCTGAGGAACAATATTAACTGTTGAATATAATAGAATCAGAGGTATGGAAGGGGAGTGAACTGTTTATTCTTGGGGAAAAGGGGAGAGGGGGATGTGGGAAGAGACTGAACATAAACTGTGCACCTATGATGAGGACAATGGGGGGTGGGGAAAGGGCAGAGGGTGGGGTGATAAGGGGGGGGAAGGAACATTTGTAATAATATGAACAATAAAAATTTATTAAAAAAAAATAAAATATGTTGAAAGTAAGCATCTACCAAGCACCTATCAAAAAATTAAATAGGCTTTCACGAAATCTCAATTATAATTTTTCTAAAAAGTGATAAAGCCAGCCATCTTTGAAATAGATACAGAGGAAACTATGAAAAGTGCCGGGAAATATTACTAATTATTAGTTTTTAATATATTTGCATGTTTATATTTAAGAATTGGCATGCTATTTTTAAATCCTTACTATCTCTATAGAGCTATTTGTCCACATTTCATTAATATGTAGAAGTAGTGTAGAAAATAAGAATAGGGTTGATTGGTACAGCTCCCCTCCCCTTGTAACACATTGGGAATCCAGCCTTAGCACAAGGTCTGTCATGCACTTGGTGGCCTAATCCCAACAGCCTTAGACAAATCATGGTATGGCTTCGTAGTGGAATACCATGCAGCAGTGAAAAAGGATGGCTTACACACAGCAACAAGGAAGAACTTAGAAACAAAATGCAAAGAAAAGCAAGCTATTGAAGAATGCATACAACATTACCATATCTTAGGCAGCAAGTAAATGTAAAACCATAAATTAAAGCAAGGAAGCAATGAGCACAAAACTCCAGAAACGGGTGCTTGGGAGGAGGAAAGGAACCAGAGGGGGGAAGAAACAGCTGCCGTACCGGGGACTTCGAGACAGTAGGCACGTGCTTGTTCTAAAATGAGACACACTCGTCATTCTTTTATATCTCACATGTATTTTGTAATACTTTACACTTATTTTATCATTTGAATCTATACCGTATATAATAAAGTTAATTATTTTTCCAGTAAGTGCAATTGCAGAATTTAGCATATGGATAACAGGATACCTGTTCTTGTATACCTGCAAGGAAAGTATACTTCTCTGAGAGGGGGAGGAGTCCAATTATAGTGACTTCTATCCCGTTGCTTATGTTTAATGACTTAAATTTTCTTTTGTTAAAGGGTTTTCTTCTTTCTTTTCCCTTCCATTCTCTCTCCCGTCGGTAGGAGAGATTTGAAGCACTCTTCACCATCTACGATGAGCAGGTGACGTTTCAGCTGTTTAAAAGCTTTAGAAGAGTCAGAATAAACTTCAGCAAGCCGGAAGCCGCAGCCAGAGCGCGCATCGAGCTCCACGAGTCGGACTTCCACGGGCAGAAGCTGAAGCTGTACTTTGCGCAGGTACCTCTCCGAGCCACGGCACTGCTCTCGCACCCGTCCTCCACCCGGAAACATTACAGTTCTCCGCTCCCCGTGTCCCTTCGGGGGCCTTGGAAACGGACAGTCCCCGTCAGCAAATAACGTAAAAACAGTGCCTCCTTTATTATACAGATGCGTAAATGTATGTATTAAGCGTATTTACCCTCCTAGCTTTGTTTCGCTTAGATCAGCAGTTATAAAGGAATTCATTTTTCTGTAAGCTTTTCTCAGCGGGCATTTCATGAGGGAAATTGGAGAGAATGTCTGAAATCATTTCTGGGTTCTGTAACTTATATGAGATACCCCATTGAACATGCATGACTGGGCTGCTGGCCTGTGGGGTGACCAGGAAGGTGCTGTCGGCTGTACCACAGGCGGTCTTAGACTTTGAAATGGCAGAGCATCGTGGAGGTTACCGAGAATTGGCTGTCCTCATTCTGTTTAGTGATGTGACTGAGAAACCAATGTCTTCTTAGAAGGATTGGTGAAATGAAGGCTGATGTGCACTGACTTATTTTCAACAAAGTTTTTTTTTTTCTTGGTCTTAGCTTTCAAATTAAAAGAGAGAGAGGTTTGTTATCTCACACTCCAAATGCAATTCTAAATGAAAGCTTTCTGGACATTTCTCGGTGGAGCTGATTGAAATGGAGACAAAGAACCTAATCTCTTCCAAAATTGGAATTTGGTGCTTACTACCATTCATTATTCCTTCATCTAGTCACCTATTTATTTTTTATTCAGCTGTCCATTTATTGAGCACCTGATTGGTGCAGGCTCTGTTCTGTGCACCGGGTCTTCGGTGGTGGGAGACCGAGACCCATCACTGGGAGATGCAGGCTGTTAAAGAGAGATTGTTCATTTTCTCCAAAGAGATGCAGTGATTAATATAAAGATGAAAATGAGAAAATAGGCCAGTCCCAGACATGGAGTCTCTCCTTCCCTGCAGGTTCAGGTGGCCCGGGAAACACGAGACAAGTCGTACCTGCAGCCGCCCCAGCCGGTCAAGCAGTTCCTCATCTCGCCGCCCGCGTCCCCTCCGGTGGGCTGGAAGCAGGGGGACGACGCGATGCCGCTCTTAAACTACGATTTACTCTGCGCCGTGTCCAAACTGGGGCCAGGTAACCAACATCCGTCTTTCCTGGTTTTTCCCCAAAGACGCTCTTGTACTAAAGACCACATTCAGTAATTTGCATTCTTGCCAACTAGTGGCAACCTGACCAGAGTGAGGGATAAAGTCACACAAGCCCGGGTGCACTGGCATTTGCTAACTCTGTGATCTTGAGCAATTTGCTGAGCTTCCAATCCCCTCAGCCTCTGTTCTTCTCATCTATAAAGTAGGGACCATATCTGCTCCCTTTCAGGGTGGTAACAGGGTTAAATGATACATGCATGATACTCAATAAATCTAACTGCGATTTTTACTGCTATAAATTCTACTGGTACCTCACAGGCAGTTAGTGAATATCAGTTGCTCTCTCCCCCGCTCTGTCAGAATGTCAGGCAGACAGCTTCTCCAATGGCTAGTATTTGAAGGAGTTAATGGTGATACCATATCATCCCTTCCAAATTATTCTTCTTTATTTTCCTTCTCTTCTCTCTTTTTTTTTTTTCTTCTCATCCCTTTAAAATAATATAAGGGATCAATGCTGTCCTAGCTGGTTTGGCTCAGTGGGTAGAGTGTTGCCTGCAGACTGAAGGGTCCCAGGTCCAGTTCTGGTCAGGGGCACATACCTGGGTTATGGGGGGCGTGCAGGGGGCAGCCAGTCAATAATTCTTTCTCATTATTGATGTTTCTATCTCTCTCCCTCTCCCTTCCTCTCTGAAATCAATAAAAATGTATTTTTAAAAAAGAAAAAATAAATAAATGCCATTCATTGCTGGTTCAGACTAGATGTCCGCCTAAGACAATGTTGTGTCTGTCGTAAGGGATACAAGGGTCATTTTGAGGGGAAATGGCTTTGTTTTGTTTTAGACATTAGAGCTGGATCATGTCTGAGGTCCCATAATAAAGAAATTGCCCATTCTGGCCGGAAATTACAAATGTCTCCCAAGGGAAAACCGAAACCATTCTGAAGTTAAGAGATTCACTTGTTATGTTCATACCACAGTACTTAGCATTTTAACTCCCAGACCTCAATGTTCCTTACTCACTTCTCTCTTCTTCTTCTTTTTTTAAATCCTCATCTGAGGATATTTTTCCATTGATTTTTAGAGAGAGTTGTGAGAGGGAAAGAGAGAGAGAAATTTTAATGTAAGAGAAACACATCGATTGGTTGCCTTCTGCATGAGCCCTGACCAGGGCCCAGGCCAGGGAGGAGCCTGCAACCAAAGTATGTGCCCTTGAACAGAACTGAACTCAGGGGCCCTTCGGTCCACAGGCTGTCACTCTATCCACTGAGCAAAATTGGCTAAGGTTTATTTTTTTTTAAGTTTTTTTTTAAATTATTTTTAGAGAGAGTGGTAGGGAGAGGGAGAGAGAAAGAGAGAAAAATTGACGATAGAGCAAAACATCAATCAGCTGCCTTTTGCATGCCCCAAGAACTGAGCCTGAAAACCAGGCATGAGCCCTGACCAGAATTGAACAGGCAGCCTTTCAGTGCACAAGGCAACACTCACCCAACTGAGCCAGGCAAGCCGGGCCGTTGAAACAGCAAAACCTCATAAGAACCTTAAAGTAACAAAGCTCTAATGCCAAAACAAGATAAAGTACACTGACATAGGATGTGTTTTTTATTAATTTCAAAGAGGAAGGGAGGGGGGAGAAAGTAATAGAAATATCCTATCTAATAAAGAGGAAATATGCTAATTGATTCTGACACCGTGGCAAAGATGGCAGCACCCACAGCCAATAAGGGGGGAATATGCTAATTGACTGTCACGGCCTCAAAGATGGTGGTGCCCACAGCCAGGAGATGGCAGCGCCCAATCCCCTCAGCTTGGCCAGGGCGGCAGGCGGACCCAGCTGCTCCGCATGCCTGCCCCTGGGTCCCCCAGTGCCCTCAGTACCCCAACCACCCAGGGCCCGCCCGAGGCGCAGGTAACCAGGGCCAGCTGAGGCTTGCGCTGCTGGCAGTGGCAGCAGCAGAGGTGTGATGGGCGTCGCCTTCCCCTGATCTCCAGGTCACCTCCCCCCTGAGGGCTCCCAGACTGTGAGAGGGGGCAGGCTGGGCTGAGGGACGCCTCCCCCTCCAGTGCATGAATTTTCATGCACCAGGCCTCTAGTTAGTGTTCAGAGAGAATCATTGATTGGCTGCCTCCTGCACACCCCACACTGGGGATTGAGTCGGCAGCCTGGGCATGTGCCCTGACTGGTAATTGAACCATGACCTCCTGGTTCATATGTCGATGCTCAACCACTGAGCCATGGTGACTGGGCTGACATTAGGATTTAGAGATTTAAAAACCAATAATCAACTAAAATGTGAGGAGAGCAAGAAATTTCAAGAGACAAAGCCCTTCCTTTTTTCTGTTTCCCTCCACAGGAGAGAAATACGAACTTCACGCAGGAACCGAGTCCACGCCCAGTGTGGTGGTTCACGTCTGTGAAAGTGAAACTGAAGAGGTAGAGGAAACAAAAAACCCCAAACAGAAAATTACCCAGACCAGGCGCCCCGAACCTCCGGCCACGGCACTGAGCGAGCCCCAGACCTTCGACTGTGCCCCGTGAGGCCTGACTGTGGCAGAGGCAGCTGCCATCGTGGGTTCTGGTCGTGGAATCGGTGCCCCCTGCTGGGGCACTGCTGCCCATGGTGTAGGTGAGGTGAGCAGGGCATGAGACGCAGAGTGTTCACCAAGCCTGCACCGCCGTGGACTTGGCAGTCTAAGTAGAGGCTGATATTCTGAGAAGCGCTGTAAGGATTAGCCCCAACTGCAGCATCTCCTGACCACTTTGAACAGTAGCAACTTAGGAACACGGCCCCTCCAGGAATGTTCCTCTCCCTGATTCTGTGTAGCATGGAGTACCCCAAAACTAAAACTATAGCCAGCGAGTGCAGTCCCATTTTTACGAATTTAAAAGTAGTCTTACAGTTTTAATAATCTCGTGTGGGTATTTTTGTACTGGTATAACAGCTTCTAACTAAATCTCTTGATCAAAGCTTAATTACGGTTCAGCATACCTGAAATTTTTTGCACGTAAAGAAACCTGAAGTAGAGAATAATTCGTAGAAAAGCATTTTTCTCTAGTACTTTGTTTTCTTTAACTTTGGGGAAGAAATTCCAAGTTCACTTTGACTCTCAGAATCAAATGGCACAAATCCATGTGCCTGCTGTTCTCTGACTTGGAAAGTAGTGCCCACACCACTGTCCTCGTGTGTGGTCCCCCCCAGAGGAAGAGCTGCTGCTTTGGGTGGGGGTGTCGCCAGGGAGCTGGCCTGGTTAGGACTCAGGTGGCTCTGCCGTCCGCCGCTTGTGACCGTGCTCTAGCCTGTAGCATCCCAAACTGCTCCCAGCTACCTGCTAAGCTTTCCTGCGCTATACATATTTGTGGGTCATTCGTAGACTTTAAGTGAGAAAAGAAAATGGTAAGATCCTATCTAATAAAATAGTAGTATGCAAATTGACCGTTCTTCCATCACACCCACAAGACATGCCCACCAACCAATCAGGAGCGAGTATTCAAATTAACCCAACCAAGATGGCTACAGCCATGGAACAAACAGGCTTGGGTTTCCCTGGTAATAAAGAAAGCAAGCTTCCTGCACACCCTGGCCAGCCCAGGCCTCTGCTCAAGATTACAAAGTTTCAATTATAGAACATAAATAAATCCCAACAAAAATGGCTGCAGCCACAGAGCAAGCAAGAGGCTTGGGTTTACCCAGCAATGAAGGAAGCCAAGCTTCCTGCACACCCTGGCTGGCCCAGGCCTCCGCTCAATTATAGAACATAACATAAATAAATCCCAGATACCAGGGCCTCCTCTTTGGTCGCTGGGGGGGAGAGGAGAGGGCATGGCTGGCCTGCAAACCATCATAGGCCCCTCACCCAGCCCAGCCCACCCCACACCCCAAGGGAACCCCCATCCTGATCCAGGACACCCTTCAGGGCAAACCAACTGGTCCCCACCCGTTCAGCAGGCCTCTATCCTATCTAATAAAAGAGTAATATACAAATTGAGTGTCACTCCAACACACAAGATGGCTGCCCCCATATGGACACAAGATGGCCAACAGGGGAGGTCAGTTAGGAGGGATCAGGACAGCAGGGGAGGGCAGTTGTGGATGATCAGGCCAACAGGGGAGGACAGTTGGGAGGGACCAGGCCTGCAAGGGAGGACAGTTGGGGGCAATCAAGCCTGCAGGGTAGGGCAGTAAGGTGACCAGGCCCGCAGAGGAGGGAAGTTGGGAGTGACTGGGCCTTCAGGGAAGGGCAGTTGGGGGAGACCCAGGCCTGCAGGGGAAAACAGTTAGGGAGAACCAGGCCTTCAAGGGAGACAGTTAGGGGTGACCAGGCCTGCAGGGGAGGGCAGTTAGTTATCAATCAGGCTGGCAGGGAGTGGTTAGGAGGTGATCAGGCTGGCAGACAGAAGTGGTTAGGGGCAATCTAGAAGACAGGCAGGTAAGCAGTTGGGAGCCAGCAGTCCTGAATTGTGAGAGGGATGTCTGGGCTTAAACAGGCAGTTGGACATCCCTCAGGGAAGAGTCCCAGATTGGAGAGGGTGCAGGCTGAACTGAGGGATAAACACCCCCTACACGAATTTCATGCACCGGGCCTCTAGTTTTCTTATAAACCATTTTAAAAGTGTCCATTTAAGCATTTTTCATCTTGAAAGAAAAGTCACACTTATTCTTTCCCATGAATTAGGGAAGGATAGGGGAAATCATTTTGCTAGTCAGACTTTTCTTTTTTGGTGAGATTTCTTACAGTATGCATTTTTCCCTAAAATAAAATTGTTTCTCACTTACGTTTCAGAGTGAATAGTTGAACCTCCTAAAGTAGAAACAAGAATCTTGTTAATTTTGGGGGTCTGTTCAGACTTTCAAGTCCTTTTTATAGGAAAGTATAACAAAATGCTTTGCTCTGCCGATTCTCTGCTCACACGGCTGTTTTATTTATATGGCAAATGTCTGGAGGGCCTGGTCTGTATGTGAAGGGGTTGCGCATCTGAGTTTGGACTAATACAATGTGGCTACCACTATAAAAGAGAGGAAAATGCAGAAATGCAGGCCATGATATCTATAAATTTTTGGTAACATGCTTTTGTGGTTTAGATGTTCTATGTACACTTTATTTCTGAGGACTTAAACTATATTGCAAAAAAAGTTTTGTATGTTTTCCTTGCCCTGAAATACTCTGAGGTGATAAACTCTTCTATTTGTATATATCTACCACTGCTGAGCCTCCGTGTAAATTCAGTTCAGATTTGTGATTCCATAAGTAATTTAGTAAATTCAGATCACCATTTGGCAGTCCATCATTGCAGCATGGACCCTGCAAGCCAAGGAATGTATGCATTTTCAACAGTTGGGGATTTTTAAATTTCCTTTTAGTTATATTTAGTCACTGTAATTTTCTAAGTGACCAAAATCCATGTTTTATTATTTTGCTTGGTTCTCATTCTCTATCTTCCAGTTAAGAAAGAGTATTGTGTCCTAACATAGAAAACTATTTACACAGTCAAGCAGTGTTGCCCTGGCCAGTGTTGCTCAGTGGTTAGATTATCAGTCTGTGCACCATAGTGTCTAGAGTTTGATTCCCAGTCAAGGGTGCATACCTGTGTTGCAGGTTCAATCCCCAGCCCAGTCAGGCTTCTCAGTTGCAGGAAGCAACCAATCGATATGTTTCTCTCACATCAGTGTTTCTCTCCTCTCTCCCCCTCTCTTCCTTCCATTCTCTCTAAAAATCAGTGGGAAAAAATATAGAAGCAATGTTAACCTGGCTCAGTTGGTTAGAGCATCATCCCAGTATGCCAAGGTTGTAAGTTCAATCCCTGGTCAGGGCACACACAAGAATTAGCCAATGAATGCATACATAAGTGGAATAACAAATCGAAAGTCAAGTAGTGCAAATAACCCCAAATTTTTGTTCTCCATTCTTTTTTGTTTTTTTAAGAGAGCATTAAATAAATTGAAGAAAATCTTAAACTACAATTATATATATATATATATATATATATATATATATATATATATATATATATAATTATTTAATACTAGAAGCCTGTTGCAGGAAGATTCCTGTAAAAACAAGGCTTCCTCAGGCCTATTCCTGCAAGAACAGGGCTTCCTGCCCCAGAGCAAAGCAGAGAAGGGAGCGAAGCCCGCCTTGGCTTTGCTCCTGTCTCCGCTGCCTCACTTCCTTCTCTGCTGCTGTGCTCCCTTCTGCAGCACTCGGCTTCCTTCTATGCTGTCTTCAGTCTTGGCTCTATACCTGCACATGCAAATTAACTCTCATCTTTGTTGGGTTAATTTGCATACTCTCTCCTGATTGGTTGGTGGGTGTAGCAGGGAGATGGTCAATTTGCATGTTTCTCTTTAATTAGTATAGATTTCTCAATGGGGAAATTAATATTTTCATTCTAATATAGTACTGCCATTAGATGAACTCTAAAAGAAAAACTACTAAATGCTCATTAACTTTTTAACATGATGAAATTAACCAAGATCTCCATGGAAAAAAATAGCCACGGTGTTCTGCTCTCCATTCTTTTGACTATTTTTTATCCAGTTCATGTAACCATTTTGTAAGCAATGAGTCTATCTTTTTTTTTAATTCCTTAAATAACTTTACACCTTTTCTAATTTGAAATGTAGTTATTTAGATTTAACTATGGTAGTATAGTAGCCATGTTTTCTTCAGAAGTCATAACCTCTTCTTGGGAATCCATCGTTAGATGACTGTGAGGTTAGCACATGAGGCTTTCGTCAGGAAGAAGCATGCGTGAGGGGTAAGAAGCCTGTAACCGTGAGGACAGCCAGGAGGGCCCATGGGCCCTTGGCTCTTACGTTCCAGGTCCTCTCAGCATACCCACCTGATGAAATCGGAAATAAGTCTTTTAAAGAGCATACTAGGTGCCCAGCTGGCGTGGCTCAGTGTTTGAGCACCAGCCTATGAACTAGGACACGTGTCAAACACAAGGCCCGCGGGCCAAATCCGTCCCGCCAGGCCTTGCAATGTGGCCCGCACCGCGCTGTCATCACTGCACTCCGCTGCGTTTCCATCACAATGACAGTTTATGACTGTTCAGTAAACCATTCAGCCCGCAATTTAGGCTGGATTTTAGATTTTGGCCCCTTCTCTGATTGAGTTCGACACCCCTAAACTAGGAGGTCATTGTTGATTACCAGTCAGGCATGTGCCCAGGTTGTGGGCTCAATCCCCAGTAGGGGGCGTGCAGGAGTCAGCCAGTCAGTGTTTCACTACCATCAATGTTTCTGTCTTCTCTCCCTCTTCCTTCCTCGCTCTCTAAAAATATCAATAAAAACATATTTTTTAAAACATAAACATAAAGTAACATCTCTAATTAAGAAGGAAAATGGAGATCCCCTTGTAGGACTGTTTGAGGATCAAATCAGATGCCTGTTAGTGAGTTGCACACGTAAGAATGTCTGGTTCACAGCAGAAACAGCCTGTGAGCACTGAGCACATCAGATAAAATTTTCAAAGGTCAGACGGAAGGATTTAGGTAGAACGGTTAGCACGAGAAGGCCCTGCCCTGTGCCTTGCCCACGTGGCTGAGCCTTTGGCGTGACGCAGGCTCACTCACGTGTCTCAGCCCTTTGTGGCCTCCCCCTCCTCCCGCACGCCAGCCAGCCTTCTCTTTGGCCTGTGTCTTGCCTCTATCTTCCATAAGTCTTGTGATTGGAAAGTTCCAGCTGAAGGTCATTGAGCCAGTGACTGTTCACCTCGTGTGGTGATTACAGGGAACTAGAGGGAAGAGGGTCAGGATGTACAGACCAACACTGGACAGTCGGGTGAGGAACCAGCAGCCACTAAACGTCATTCCCAGAGCTGGGCTGGAAGTCCGTCGTCGAGCTTCCACAGAGACCAGCATTTCTCAGAGGGAGTGTGTGTTGTGAGGGTAAAGATTCACACCAACACTTCAGAGTTCTCTTAAGCATAAAGTACAAAACACTAACATTCAAAATGAAATGTATTGGTATAGTATTTGGCTGAAACCAATTGCAGTTTGCCTTATGAATAGAGGACTGACTGCCCTGAGTAGCCAATTTCGCGTCTTTTGGGTCTGGATATAATTATCACTGAGAAATGTAGGTAGGCACATTCTAGTGGTTAAGAATGTGGGCTCAGAAGCCAGACTGCCTGGGTCTTCCTTAACCAGCTGTTTGACCTTGGAGAAGTTACTCAGTCTTCCTGATGTTGAAGTCCTCATCTGTGCAATGGCGATAAGAATGTTCCCAAAGGAATGCTGGGAAGATTAAACAAGATAGGGCAGTGCCTAGAGCATTGCCGGACGCACAAGGCGAGTGTCCGATTGCTGGTGTTCCCGACATTTCCTGCTGAGAACCAATGACTTCCGATCTGTAAACTGCCAGTGGCCGGTGTCCCATTTGTCAGGTGTCGCCTGAGGCCTTCTCGTGGGGGAAGTCATTCTTCGCTAACGCAGCCCACGTCGCGCATTTATCAGTGGCCCTGACTGCCCTGCACCACCCAGAGGAAAGGCCCCGTGCTCAGAAACCACTGGGCAGGGCTTCTGTATTAGGTGGCCACCCAGAGCCTCCAGCCATGCTTTCTTCTTGTTTCACGCCTACACGCACAGGTACGTGTGCATTCAATTCACATACTTTTTCAGATTGTTTCCTAAGTGAAAGCACAAAGTTTCAGACTTTTTCATAAACACGGACAGCAGTGTGGGGACGAGGTGGACAGGAGTGGGGGAGAGTAGAGGGGAGACATGGTGATAGAAGGAGGCTGACTTGGGGTGCTGAGACCTGTATGATTTCGTTAACCACTATCACCCTCCCCCACGCCCCCCCCCCCCCCGATAAATCCAATTTAAAAAGCTTTGACAAAGGAAACAGATTTTTTTCCCACAGAACCACTGCCAGAGTCAGAAAGACTATAGCAGGTTCACTGTTTCATTTCTATTTTCTTCAAAACTTCTCAGTTTCCTTTCTTTTGCCTTGCCTTCAACATCTCATCGCTAGCACTTTTTCCAGCTGATGTGCCTGTCTCTCTTACTCTCATTGGGTCCCGAAGATCAGAACTGGTTCTGGTGAAGCTCCGTGAACTTGATTTCACCTTGACCTTTGTTTTGCTTTGTGGAAGCTCGAATTTATTGCACAAGCTTCTTGCTTTTTAGTGACAGTTCTTTTTGCATTAATTTGCTCACTTTTTCTAATATCCAATCTACTGTGTCATTAAAATCTTTGTTATGGATTAGAATTCATTTATAACTGAGAATTATTGGTTAATGCTAGTATTTCCATAATTGTCCTTTTTGTACATTTTTATATTTGTGTACGTGGAGGCTAAGCAGTATTATCAGTGATAATAAAACAGCTACAATAACAGCTATTTAACTGTGTGATATAAAGTAAAAAGATGTGGTCCAGCTGGCTTGGCTCAGTGGCTGAGCGTCTACCGATGAACCAGGAGGTCCTGGTTCGATTCCTGGTCAGGGCACAGGCCAGGGTTGTGGGCTTGATCCCCAGTGTGGGCGAGCAGGAGGCAGCCCATGGGTGATTCTCTTCATTGATGTCTCTCTCTCTCTCTCTCTCTCTCTCTCTCTCTCTCTCTCTTTCCTTCTCTGAAATTGATTTTTAAAATATTTTTAAAGGTAAAAAGACTTGATTTCTCAGAATCTCAGTCACAGAGCTGAAGGTGACCTTGGGAATCAGTCCAGTCCTCATGGCACACAGATTAGAAAACAGAGGTGATGTGACTTGTTTGAAATCCACAGAAAGGTAGCTCGGGGACTAGAGTTGGCATTCCCAACTCCCAGAGAATTCTCAGTGAGGTGATTCTCTCTCAGTGATGTTTCTATTTATCTCTGTTTCTACTGTTTCTTTCATTAGCTCCTTAAACTCAGAGGCAGTGAATCATGTCATACAAAAAAAAAAAAAAAAAAAAAAGAAAAAGGGGGAGGGAATAGGGGGGGATTTCCCCCTAATGGACACAGTGAATAAGGCAATGAAAAATCATAGGTAATGAAGTCAGTAACTTATTAATTTTAATTAATAAACTGGATGTTCCATATTTTGTTTTTGCTGTTATTGTACCACTAGTATTGGAATGTTCTCTTCAATAGTGTGACCTTGGTGGCCAGCAATTGCATTGACCTGTATGTGGGCTTTCCCAGATTGTGGTAGTGATACGATTAAAATACAGTCACACTTGAGATGTGACTCCAGTGAAGCCCAATGAGATCAGCCTGATTAGGAAAGAGTCTGCAGTGGAATGACACTCTGGGTGCTGGTAAATGAGTCCTGTGAAAGACTGACAACTGACTGCGCCCACACTTTCACACAGACTTTTATGGACCACGGCTTTACTTTTAAAGGGGAAACCAAGCATAATGAAGCAATGGGAAATGTAGGAGGTTCTTTGTGCATCAGGTTCACGGTCTGCCGGACATGATCTTTTTCTCCCGAGCTGTGGACTGCGTAGCTGTCACAGGTGGACTTGGTCAGTCCTCCCTTTCCCACTCCTGGGCTCCCTTTCACACAGTTACATTGGCATCTTCCTGTGCGGAAGGAAGCATTACCTGTAGTTAGTGTGCCTGTATCTGTATATATAAAAGGCTAATATGGAAGCGTCCCTCAGCAGTTCGACCAGAACAGGAGTTCCATCGCTCGCTATGACGTGCGCTGACTGCCAGGGGGGCGGGGTGGTACATGGTGGGTGACCATCATCAATGGGGTGCTGAGGGAGTGAGGGAAGGAGGAGGCGGGGAGGTTGGGGGGAGCAGGGCAGGGACCCTGGGTGGCAAGGGATGTAGAAGGCCGGGAGGCAGGGAACCTGATGGCCCTGATCGTAGGCCAGGCCTGGACCCTAGTAAAGGCCTCCAGTGAAGAAATAAAAGACTTGGGAAGTAGTTGCCTCCTAGCTGGGGAGCTGAGTCCATGTTGTAGACGCTCACTGTTAGAAAGTAAAATAGGTTTAAAGAATAAGACGTAGGAACCTTGTCCCACAGTTTGGTATATGCTCAGTTGTTTTCTGAACTCCCCTTGGAGTGTGGTCAGCCTGATCATCTCTAGCTGCCCTTGTTCTTTCTAATCGTGAATCGGGAAGTGTTAGTAATGTGAAGAGTGTTGTTATTATTACCAAATATACAAGCAACAAAACAACCGAAAATTGCAACAAGTGCTAGTTTCGCTGACCGAAAAGATGATAAAAACAGTCAAGTTCAAAATAGAAGTATCCCGCCAAGATTAAGAATCATCGTCTTGGGTTGAGTCGAAGTATCTCTGCGCATTTAAACAAGCCCGACTGGCGTGGCTCAGTGGTTGAGCGTCCCTATGAGCCAGGAGGTCACAGTCCGATTCCTGGTCGGGGCCCGTGCCCAGGTTGTGGGCTCGACCCCCATTGGCGGATGTGCAGGAGGCAGCCAATCGATGATTCTCTCTCGCTGATGTTTCTCTCTCCCTCTCCCTTCCTCTCTGAAATCAATAAAAGTATATTTTGAAAGAATAAATAAGCAGGGTCTGGTGTAAACGTACATTTCCCTTTGAAACAAAATCCCGCCTGTAAACCACACAGCTTTGGCCGAATGTTCATTCTTGTGCCAGGGCAGGTTCCTGTCATTGCAGACGATGCGTGTTTCGGTGTTGTTTTCTGTGTGGTCCCAAGCTTCCTAACGCACAGTGGGCATGGGGAGAGACCAGGTGGCTAATCCTGTTCCTGTGCCCTACGTTCTTCCCGCGGCTGCTCTGCCCGAAGCCGGGTCCCGGGGGTGGGGTTTACGTTTCTGCGGGTTTGTGCAAATCCTGCAAATTAGAGAAAAGCCCCTCCGTCCCTCTGTCCTAATGGAGCTCGGGAGCTGAACGCACCGTTTCGTCTGAACGTGTCTGTGATCTTGTGTTCTGTTCCTGGGCATGTTCCCTTGCTGGTATAAACTCTAGTAAATATTCATTGAATTTCAAAAAACCGGTCAGTAATTTGCACACAAGTGCTCCATGTTTTTGTGCGCTCCACGTGGCCGTCCGGTGTTTGTGATAGTCTGTGTCTTGCCAGCTTGGGCTGTCCTATACTTTGAGGACATTTAAATATTCCTTGTCCTGTCAAGGTGACAAAAGCAGACTGTCATTTTTTTTTTTTTTGGAGTCTATGATTAATCGTAACAAGTTTTGTTTTTAAAGCTAATAAAAATAAAGTTAGTGTTTGTTTTTTTTTAATCAAGCCGATGAATTGAGTTCTCTGTGTGTAGAATTATTCATCCGTATCACTTACATGTAGGTAATAACACAAAAAAGACAGAAAGCGAAATTGCGTTTGTTTAACCAGATTGCAGTTGAACTTGAATGTTGCGTCCTGAGGAGTTAAAGGTATAGACTCACTGCCAGACCTGGAAATAACCACCCTGGTTCGTCCTTCACCAAGAGAAGTCTTTAACCCTGGTCTGCTACCCAGTTAAAAATGATTTATTCTTACTAAAGGCTTATCTCCTGTCTTGGTTTAAAAAAAAAATCTCGCCAAAACCGGTTTGGCTCAATGGATAGAGCGTCGGCTTAGGGACTGAAAGGTCCCGGGTTTGATTCCGGTCAAGGGCATGTACCTTGGTTACGGGCATATCCCCAGTGGGGGGTGTGCAAGAGGCAGCTGATCAATGACTCTCTCATTGATGTTTCTAACTCTCTGTCTCTCTCCCTTCCTCTCTGTACAAAATCAATAAAATATATATTTTTTTAAATGACAACAGCCAACACAACAATAACCATCCGCTGCAAATAAATAATTTTTTTAAAAAATCTCCAAATCAAAATATTGAAGCTAGAAATGACTACCATAGAGGTTTATCTAGTGCACTGGGGTTTCTGCACCTGTTTTTAAGCCGTTCTGTGAAACCTTATAGATAAGCCCAATGTGAAACTGATTGCAAGACAAAATGGAGGTTTGGGGAGTGGGGACTGAGACCCAGCCCCTGTGAGATCTCAGCAGAACAGTTCCAAACACTCCCCTCTCCAAACCCCACTCACACCTTCAAGTGGCTCAGAAGGCATGGCCACATTCACATACACATCTGGACGGTAGCCCATCCCCCCTCCGACACACGGCCTAGAATCTAGAGCTTCCAGGTTACTGGGCAGTGCTCCCCTGCTCCTCTTTATTTTTATTTGTTATGCATATGGTCTTAGAATAAGATTTCACCCAAGCTAAGGATTTCTTGGCTAAAACAGCAAATTGGAAAATCACGGCAAATATTCCAAAGATAAAACAATCTTTTAAATGCAGAATAGAAAATACAAGAATAAAGGTTTAAGTAATTTGCTGCCTAAAGAAAACTGACTTAAAAGTTAAACTCAGCAATGTATGTATCTCCAAGAAACAAGGTAAAATGTGGCTCTAACCTGGAAGGAGGAGAAGTTTAAATTCTGCAGCCCCCAGGGAAGAGCTCCAATCTCGCCAGTGGCCCCCCCCCCCATCTTCTGAGACACAGCAGGTGTGACAGGAGGCGCGAATGTAAGTCACGTGGTGTAGGTTAGGCATTGAGAGCATCTCAAAGTTTGTGGTCCGAAATGTTTGGAAAAATTAAACTGTTTCTACATTGCAGTGCTTAGAAGGGGACCAACGTTTTTGGGGGGATAGTGATTTTTAAAATGGTATTTAAGACTCAGAAAAGCCTCGGCCAGCCAGGTAGCTCTGTTGCTTAGAGCATTGTCCCAACATGCTATGCTTGCTGGTTTAGTCCCTGGCCTGGGGACATACAAGAATCAACCAATGAATGCATAAAATAAGTGGAACAATAGATCAATGTCTCTTTCTTTCTCTTTCCCTCTCCCTCTCTCTCTTCTCCCCCCCTCCTAAAATCAGTCAGTATTTTTTATTTTATTTATTTATTTATTTAAAATATATTTTATTGATTTTTTACAGAGAGGAAGAGAGAAGGATAGAGAGTTAGAAACATGGATGAGAGAGAATCATTGATCAGCTGCCTCCTGCACATCTCCCACTGGGGATGTGCCTACAACCAATGCACATGCCCTTGACCGGAATCGAACCGGGACCCTTCAGTCTGCAGACCGACGCTCTATCCACTGAGCCAAACTGGTTTCGGCAGTATTTCTTTTTAAGTGACAGAAAAATGAGGAAGTTGCCAGGTAATTGCCTGGACTGGCTGTTAAGAGGGAAGTTACTATGTCAACCAGACTTCCCAGGGAGATGGAAGAGGCCAAACAGTCCAGCCTGCCTCTCTGCAGACGAGCCAACAGAAGCCTGGCTGTCTGCGTTAGACCCCAGGCTCAGCCGCCTGCTCCCGTCGTCCCGAACCTCCATGGGCAGATGCTCCTGGAGGCAGAACGGGAATTCACTCCGAAGCGGGACCACGGCCCAGAGGGTGCCTGCCTGCCCTGGATCTCGGCTCTGGGTGCCCCGTGCTTATCTGGGGATCGGCCACGTGAAAAGCCACACCGTGTGCTGTAGACACTTCAGACCTCTGACTTCTTTCTGCCTTTGCTCTTCTCTCCACCCCCTTGGCTGAGAGGCAAGGGATTTATTTCAAAATCAATTGGCCTAGAAATGTTTGTTTCCTCTGTTTTTTGGGGGGAGGGATTAGATTATTCAATGGATTTCTCTGGATTCATGAGTGTCTCTGCCTCATCTCCAACCTGAAATTGCATTCTAGTCCTACATGACATTTGTCTGGTTTCCTTAGCAACCATCTCCAAAGCCATAAACAGCATGTTAGGGTTTTGAGGGCAGAAGGGAGAGGCGGCACAGTGCTGGCAGGAGACAAAAGCCTAGGTGCTCAGAGGCTGGTGTGCGGCGGCAGCCCCTGCTAACAGGAAAGAGAAACCCCTTTGTATTTTCTGCGGAAAAGCTGCATCTGTGTCTCTGAGATTTTTAAATCTCCCAGCATCTCAGACTCCATATGGTATATGTGAGACAGGCATGGTTTGTTGGACAATCTCATAAGCAATTTTCATTGCCTTGTAAAACTGTTTTATGTAAACATGATCATCTTTACAAAAAAAAGAGCGTGGAAAGACACCGCACTTTATGCATATTTCACCAGTTTCTCTTCAATGCATCTTATATAGTTGTCAGAGTGTGCACATGCCATTTCCACGTTCTGTTTATACACCCCTGTTTACAGCCGTGTGGGAAAGCACGCTCTCGTGTCTTCTCTACTCACAACGCCCTGCTTTACTTCTGGCACTTTGGTCGCCAAATGTGAGGGGAGGTGGAGAACTCCAGTGTCACTCACTTCCAACACCACGTGGAGAGGGTGTCTGATCCCATAGGTGAAGGGCTTACTCCCACAAGACTGACCCCGCCCCCCTCCTGCCGCCCCCGCCCCCGCCCTAACCGGTTTGGCTCAGTGCATAGAGCACATGTGTCAAACACAAGGCCCATGGGGCAAATCCGTCCCGCCAGGCCTTGCAATGTGGCCCGCACCGCGCTGTCATCACTGCACTCCGCTGCGTTTCCATCACAATGACAGTTTATGACTGTTCAGTAAACCATTCGGCCCGCGATTTAGGCTGGATTTTAGATTTTGGCCCCTTCTCTGATTGAGTTCGACACCCCTAGAGCATTGGCCTGCGAACTCAAGGGTCCCAGGTTCAGTTCTGGTCAAGGGCATGCACATCCCCAGTAGGAGGCAGCTGATCGATGTTTCTCTCTCATAGATGTTTCTAACTCTCTATTCCTCTCTCTTCCTCTGTAAAAAACAAATTTTATAAATATATATATATATATATATATATATATATATATATATATCCGTTGGAGACAGAGAAGTAGCAATCAGACTGTCAAACCTCAGAGGGAAGGTAGAGGAAGGTGGGGCAAGGGGGAGAGATCAACCAAAGGACTTGTGTGCATGCATATAAGCCTAACCAGTGGTCATGGACAACGGGGGGAGGGGGGGCGCTTACGTGGGGAGGGGTTTGGGATGGGAATGGGGGGATGAGGACAATTATTTGATACCATAATCAATAAAGAAATAAAATTTAAAAACTGACCCCTGCACACACCTTTAGACACCAATCAGAAGCCAGGGCCCAAGTTGTTACCTGTGGTTCTGATATAAGCCCAAGGTTTCCTCTCCTTGGTGTGATTGAGTTCGTAGAGTCGCTGACAGAACTCAGGAGAACTGTTTACTTGCCAGGTTGCCAGTTTAGTCCTGGCTGGTGTGGCTGAGATTGGGCATCATCCCATGCCTGTTCCATTCCTGGAAGGGGCCCATGCCAGGGGTTCGGGCTCAATCCCTCTCGCTTCCTCTCTCTCTCAAAATCTAGAAAAAATCTTTAAAAAATAGCTTGCCAGTTTATTACAAAGGATATGAAAAGATACAAATAAACAGCCAGATAAAAAGACACATGGGTGGGGGGTAGACCTGAACACAGACACTTCTGTCTCTGTGGGGAGGGGGTGCTCCCTCCTGTCATGCGGCCGTGTTCTTAGCCACCGTGCGGGGAGCTCTCCACACCCTGTCCTTCAGTTTTGTGCACGGTGTTATGTAGGTACGAGAGGCCCAGTGCACAAAACTTGTGCACCCCGGGGGTTGGAGAGGGGGCGGTCCTTCAGCCCAGCCTTCGCCCTCTCACAGCCCTGGAGCCCTTGGGGGTTGTCCACTGGGAGTGGGCCTCCGCCAGCAGTCAGACATTCTCAGCACTGCTGTGGAGGCAGGAGAAGCTCCTGCCACTGCCGCTGTGCTTGCCAGCTGTGAGCCCGGCTTCTGGCTGCGCTCCCCCTGTGGGAGCACACTGACCACCAGGGGGCAGCTCCTGTCTTGAGCATCTGCCCCCCTGGTGGTCAGTGCACGTCATAGCAACTGGTCATTCCGCAGTTCAGTTGATTTGCATATTAGCCTTTTATTATATAGGATGATCAGTCACATCATTAGCCATTTTTTATTATTATTATTGACTTTTTACAGAGAGGAAAGGAGAGGGATAGAGAGCTAGAAACATCGATGAGAGAGAAACATCGATCAGCTGCCTCCTGCACACCCCCTATGAGGATGTGCCCGCAACCGAGGTACATGCCCTTGACCGGAATCGAACCTGGGACCTCTCAGTCCGCAGACCGACGCTCTATCCACTGAGCTAAACCGGTTTCGGCTGGCCATTCTTAACAGAGTCAACCTCCAGCTCCTCTCTGTTCCACGGATGAGGTGTGGGGGGCACTGCAAGTTCCAGCCTCCCAATAGGTTCCCAGGTTCCAGCAACCAGCTTTCATCCAGACGTC